AGAAGGGAAGGGAGAAGGGGAAGAGAAGGGAAGGGAGAAGGGAAGGGAGAAGGGAAGGGAGAAGGGGAAGAGAAGGGAAGGGAGAAGGGAGAGGACAGATGGGGGATGAGAAGGGAAGGGAGAAGGGGATGAGAAGGGAAGGGAGAATGGGGATGAGAAGGGAAGGGAGAAGGGGAAGAGAAGGAAGGGAGAAGGGGATGAGAAGGAAGGGAGAAAGGGGATGAGAAGGGAAGGGAGAAGGGGTGAGAGGGGGAGGGGAGGGGGTGGAAATGAAGGGAATGAGAAGGGAATGGAGAAGGGGAATGATGAGAAGGGAAGGGAGAGAGAGGGATGAGAGGGAAGGGAGAAGGGGATGAGAAGGAAGGGAGAAGGGGATGAGCAAGGAAGGGAGAAGGGGATGAGAAGGGAAGGGAGAAGGGGATGAGAAGGAAGGAGAAGGATGGGAAATGAAGGGGATGAGAAGGGAAGGGAGAAGGGATGAGAAGGGAAGGGAGAAGGGGAAGAGAAGGGAAGGGAGAAGGGGATGAGAAGAGGAAGGAGAAGGGGATGAGAAAGAAGGGAGAAGGGAAGAGAAGGGAAGGGAGAGGGGATGAGAAGGGAGGGAGAAGGGGAAGAGAAGGGAAGGGAGAAGGGGATGAGAAGGGAAGGGAGAAGGGGAAATGAAGGGGATGAGAAGGGAAGGGAGAGGGGAAATGAAGGAGGAACAGAGATGGGAGTGGGAGGGGGGAAAGTGAAAGACAAGAGGAAGGAAAATGACTGAAGAGTGCGCTGGATCTACTATCCTAAGTGTTTTGAGGGTGGAGATTTTTGCTGAGGTCCTAGGGCAGTGGCTCTCAACCTTGGCTGCACATTAGAATCACCTGGGAATCTTTTTAAAATCCTGATTTCTGGGCCTCATCCTCTGGAAATTCTGTTTCTTTGTTATGGGGTGAGGCCACAACATTAGTAACAAAGAAACAGAATTTCCGGAGGATGAGGCCCAGAAATCAGGATTTTAAAAAGATTCCCAGGTGATTCTAATGTGCAGCCAAGGTTGAGAACCGCTGTCCTAGGGGAAGATCGTAATAGAATACTCAGCAGTTTTTCAGATGTGTCCTTTCAGGGTCAGCATCTGCACTGGTCGCTTGGCCGGCACCAGGGCAGGGGGTCATTAGCCGATGCAGCTGGTCCTGAGGTCAGCTGTGGCTGGTTTTGTTGCTTTTCTGGGCCTGGAGCTGAAATACAACTGAGGCCTAAATGTTACCTCTCGGGAGGAAAGGTCACCCTGGGGACAAGGTCCCACCATACAATTGTCCGTTGCGAGGCGCCTGGGACTTTCCACTTCGATGCCCTTGGGTACCTGGCCCATTGTCCTTGCTTGACTCATGTCTGTCTAACTGCCTACCACAGATGGTAAGAAAATTAATTATCCAAAATTTCATCACTTGATGTAAAAAATTAATAGTAAGCTTCCAAGTCTTGTTTCAAGATGCACTGTATTCCATGAAAGGAATTCCCTGAAAAATTTTAAATGAACAAGCTACAGATTGTGCCGGAAGCCGGTCCATCCTTGCTGCTTGACACAGTCGCTGCAGGAAAGAAACATCTGCACAGCATATGTTTCAAGGGACCTGGCGTATATAGCATACTGTTCTTACTATGTTTGCTCCCCTTAGCGCTGTGTGTTTTAACCAAGGTCACCTCTCCGAGAAAGGTTGTTTCCCCAGGTAGGGATTTTTCCCTGAAGTCAGGGAGGGGAAAAAACTCCTTAACTAAGTGCCAGGCGGGTAGTTAATCACTTTAACTACAAACAATCAATTATGTAGCTTAAGCTACATAATCTTTACTCCCTGGAATGGAGATAAGAAAGCCCTAACCTTTGCAATAGAAATTGACAGGATTAAAATCAACTGGTATAAATACGGATGTAACAAGACAATAAACACCAGAACTTCGCTGGAGATCCAGACCAGAACTTGGCTGGAGATCCTGGCTAGAGATCCTGGCTAGGCTGCTGATCAACTGAACGCTGTCTCTGTGTCATTCCTTCTTCGCCGACTCCGTCCACACCTTTGGGGACCCCTGGACCTGCTGGGGTTGGACCCCAGCAAGATTGCAGTGAAATAAAAAGGGATTCTGATAATTTAAAAACAAAACAGTGACTTTGAGGAATCGTGAACAAAAAAGTATATAAAGTGAGATAGTAAAGCAAGGGAAAGGCGAGAGTGTGATGGGGGTGTGGGCTATCTTGTGTTCTCTGAGGAGGAGAGTCATGTGGCCAGGAGCCAGCTGTGTGACTGGAAGGGAGAGGGCATTCCAGGAAGAGGAAACTGCACATGTCAGGGCCAGGATGCCGTTGGCTGGAGTGGAGTGTCATATGGCAGGAAATGAGGTGATGGTGATAGGCATCGGCAGGAGTCAGGTGATGTGAGCTGGGTAGAATTTTACTCTGGGAAGAATGGAATGCTTTTTGAGCTGGAAGCCATCATGAAAAGTTTTGGAAATAGATAGTGGTGATGGCCACACAAGAATGTGAATGCAATTAATGTCACTTGAACTACCCACATCAAAATGGTTAAAATGGCAAATTTTATGTTGGATATATTTTACTATAATAAAAAACAATTAAAAAGAGAAAAAAGAACAAGTAGTGCTTGGTCAGAATAAAAACAAAGGTGGTGGGGGCCAGAGGGAACAGCATCATTAAATGTCCTGGGGAAGAGAGGTTAGGAGATTTTATTTTTTATTTACTTATTTTTATTACGAGACATTTTAAAAAATCATCTGCACGAGGCCTAAGGGAAGCTTCTGGGATGCTGGCCAGGCCCAGTTTTCTTTTTTTTTTTTTAAATCTCGGTGTTGATAACCTGGGTGTGTTCACTTTATGAGAATTTGTTGAGGATTTATTTATGCTTGTGCATTTGTAATTTGTGCATATTTCTCTGTGCATGTGTTAAGAGGAAAACACAGGCCCAAGTGAGCGGCACTCAGGTGAAAAGCCCAGGATACCAAGCATAGATTTAATACCTGATCTAATTGGACAGTTTTCCATTGCTAGGCACCCAGGGCTTTCTGCCCTGGTGACCTTCTGTACTTGGCCTATGGTTCAGGCTCTGCTTATGCCTGCCTATCTGCCTACTACAACTTCAGCTCTCTGTGCTTCATAGTGTTACCACTATGGTAACCAGACCAGGGGGCCTGGCCACTGGTGGGTCTGCCTAAGGCTGGCGGATAGTGTGTGAATTCTTGCTTCCTGCAGGAAAAATTTCACAACATGAGTTCGGGTGAATTTTAGAGTATGTTTATTAAAGCTAGGGACAGTGAAGCAAGGAAGTGCCTAGGACAGTTCCTCATGTTGTGGTGACCTCCAATTTCATTGTTACAAATTGAACATAATTAAAGCAGAGTGATTAATCACAAAAACAATATGTAATTATATATGTGTTTTCCAATGGTCTTAGGCAACCCCTGTGAAAGGGTCGTTCGACCCACAAAGGGGTCTCGACCCACAGGTTGAGAACAGCTGCTCTAGGGAGAAGCATACCCTGGAACCTTCATTTTAAGGGGTTTCAGAGGCTAGGCATTTAGGGTAGGATCTCAATTGAATATTTGTCAGCTTTATGCTGATATACCACAATGAGGTTTATTCTCTTCATCTGTCCTTGGGTGTGGCTGGCAAATGGCACTAATTGGATTTCTGCTGTATCCCTGAGTAGGGTACTTGAAGCTATTTACCATTTTTTTTCCAATTCTCACCTGAGGATATGTTTCTATTGATTTTATTTTTTAAATATATATTTTAATATATTTTATTGATTTTTTACAGAGAGGAAGGTAGAGGGATAGAGAGTTAGAAACATCGATGAGAGAGAAACATCGACCAGCTGCCTCCTGCACGCGCCCTCACTGGGGATGTGCCCGAAACCAAGGTACATGCCCTTGACCAGAATCGAACCTGGACCTTTAAGTCCGCAGGCCGACGCTCTATCCACTGAACCAAACCAGTTAGGGCTCTATTGATTTTAAAGAGGGAGAGAGAAACATCAACGTGAGAGACAAACATTGCTCGGTTATCTCCCTTACACACCCCCACTGGGGATCCCACCTGCAACCTGGGTATGTGCCCTAACCAGGATTGAACCTTCAGGGTGCACCGGAAGATATTCCAACCAACTGAGCCACACTCGCCATCGCCAAACCATTTACTCTTAAGTGTCCTTGGTTTAGGGAATATAGGATTTACTAGATGGCTACAAACTGGTGTTTAACTGTCTATTTCCCTCTTCCCCTTGTCCTGGAATACTAGCCTATCTCTTTAGGATTGTTGTAGAGATCAAATGAATTAATTCATGAAATGAAACAACGAAGAACAGGCTCCAATAAAGTGTCAGCTATTGACTGAGTGCATGATAAGTGTTGAGTAGTAGTCTAAGCCCCAAGGGTCCTCAGTCAATTGTCCCCACCACAAGCAAACTGGACTTGTTTTTAGACAAGTACTGTAATTGAAGTATAACATGTTTAAAAAAATATTCAGCGGTTTAGATGTAAATATCTAGTAGGCTTTTTAAAGCGATTCATGACTGGAGAAACATCCCATCTAGCAACTAGAAGGGCTCTCTGAGGGGCTGCACAAAATGGGAGGTTTTTACAGGAAGCAGGTTGGGGCAAGGGCACTATAGTGAAAGAAAACAATGGAGTAATGTTGGGCCGGAGCTTCTTTTCTTTGTGCGAAGAGAAGAGGAACTGGTTAAAATGCTCTGAGTGCTAGTTTTGATCCTATGAAGGACATGTCTGGAACCACTAAGCCTCTGGTTCCCCCAACTCCGGGACTTCAGATCTTAGCTCATCTGGCATTCACCTCCACTAGCTCCTGGACCTCTGGGCACTTAGGCCCGGTGCATGCTGGGACTTGTAGTCCCGTCCCTGTCTAGCTCATAGGCCTTGCCTCCACCTCCCATTGGCCTTCCCTGAAGCCCCGCCCCGAAGTTCCACCTATCAGCGTGGCGCAGTCGGCCCTCAAAAAGGAGACGGAGGTCACAGCCCTGCAATCACTGCAAGGCGAACCCCCGGAGGTTGCTCGTCTGAGGCTGCGCGCCACAGAGGTTCCCACGGTCCTGCTGTTGCTACCGCCGTCGCCGCTGCGGTCCGCCGCCGCCGGTAACTTCCTGGGCCGGGGCCAGGGCCGCGCGTCTGCCGAGGCTCTGTGCCTCCCGGCTGGGATTTTCAGCCCCCCTCCCTCCCCCCCTCCCCCGGCCCTTTCAGAGTAATCGCTTCTCATCCTGCGAAGGAGAATTTCTGGAAAGGACGAATCCCTGGGGAAAGCCCCGTGAGCTCTGAGCCCGCCATCCTGTGGGGGTGGGGGTGGGCGTGGGGGTCGTCGTGGGCGTGGTGGGCTCTCTGTTGCGCGTGCTCAGCCTGAGCCCAGGCTCCACCTCCAAGAGCCTTGGAGGGACCGGCTGGGGGAGAGGAGAGGGCGTTTGCTGAGGTTCCACAGCCCGCGAAGGCTGGGCAGGGTCTGGGGCTTGGGCCTTTACCATCCAGAGACAGTGCAGGCTGCTGGTGCTTTTAATGTGGAGGATTGCACCCGTTCCCAGCCAGTTCGCTGTAGCCTAAGGGGAAGGGCTGCCAAGGAAAACAACAATGCCCAAAGCTCCCGGGTAGTTCTGGTTCTCCGAGGCCTGACCTGGTGGGAATTGCAGGGAGATTCACGTCAACCACGGAACTGAAAGTTAGGTGGACGTGGTCCCCTGCCGCTAGCAGAATTGAGGTTATACCTCCTACACGGGTTCCATGGTGAGAACTGTAGAGTCTGGGGGCTGGGAGAAGGAACTTCGTGTCAGGGGTTTCTTTTCATGGGTGAAAACAAATGCCCACGGTTTGAGACTTTCCCTGTGGTATGTAGTGAGTGGAGGAGCCCAACTTTCTTTACTGTGAGGCTGCATTAGTCAGCCAACATGTGTTGAGCCTTACTAAACTTTCCGAGCTGGGATTATTTCCTAAAGGGGAACCAGCCCAGTGTTACAGGGGCAGCATTTACCCCAGGGGAAGCGTAGAACTTTGCTGAGAAGGGGTGCTTGGGTGGAGTTTGAGGGAGGGGCAGGAGCTGGTGGGATGGAGAAGACTTGTTTTCACCTGGAAAACAGCATGGGGAAGGCGTGGAAAGAGCACCGATTTGGGAGGTGGGATCCTGGAGCCTGATGGAGCAAGGGGTTTCCTGTGGGCCGTGGGTTTCTTGAGCCATGAGAGGAGAGAAGTACATCTAGCAGGGCCTCCTGTGCTGCTCTGAGAGATTTGGATTTTGTCCTGAAAGCTGAATTCGGTAGATGCGTATCTTAGATACCCTGTCGTGTAGGAAAGCGTTGGACAGTGAGCAACCACCCTCGGGCGCTCATTGCAGTAATTCCCAGGAGAATTGCTGAGGGTTTTAAAGGGTGACAGTGGGAAAGGAGAGGAGAGGAGAGGAGAGTTGTGAATTGGTATGGAGATGGAATACACCATACCCAGTATTGTTCAGTAAGAATGTATTGAAGAGGACTCTGTTCCTGGAATTTTCCAACCTGTGACTATCTGTTAAGGAAATGCCCAGCATTTTTTTTTTTTTAAACTGCAGATATTGCTTTGTAGATGGTAATCGAATCCCAGTTTGTGGTGGGGAAATGGTCACATGTATCAAAGGTGTTGAGATCAGAATGATTAAACATACTGGACTCTTGTAACCCAGTAGATGCAAATTAAACCCATACTTAGATCCCTTTCTATCCATCAGATTAGAAATAATAAAGTTTGAGGAGGAGCAAGATGGGAGACGCCAAAGAGGGTGCTTTTCGGCAGGCAGGACCCTCCACTGCCCCAGTTTCGTTCAGCTTCATTCGCACGGCTGCCCAGAGACAGCTGGCAGACCCTGGAGATGGCCTGGGTGCGGCTCCCAAAGAGAAGGGTTTCTTGATTGTGGAAGGAAGGAAATTGCAGAGTGTTAATCCCTCAGAAGCCCCCAGGGAACTCGTCGTCCCTTTGATTCAAAATGGCCCTGGAAGACTGCCACCAACCCAGGCTCCTGGCCCCTCTGCTGAGGCCATGGTGGATGGGGTGCTGTCCCAGGCTGTGAAGGAGCTCGTGGAGGAATCCAAGAAGTCTCTGGAGGAGGAAGAGAATGAGGGTGTTGACCCCATACTCCCTATCTCCATGATCCAGAACAGATGCATACCCAGTGAGGAAGGGGCAGACAGCAAACCCTGGACCGAGACCGTACCCAAAGAGGCAGATTACGAGGCAGTCCCTGTGGAGGCCTATGGGCTGGCCATGTTGCAGGGCATGGGCTGGAAACCTGGTCAGGGCATCGGCCGCACCTTCAATGAAGTGGTGAAGCCCCGTGTCAACACACCGAGGCCTAAAAGGTTAGGGCTAGGCACCAGCCTGATGGAGCTCCAGGCCCTGGCCCCCACCAGCCCCCTCCGCCTGCTGAGGCCAGATGAGGAACACGAGAAAGATAAGGAGGACCAGCCTCAAGGACTGGCACCTGGAGGAGCTGTGGCGGTGCTTTCTGGCCCTCACCGAGGCCTCTATGGTAAGGTGGAAGGCGTCGATCCTGACAATGGTCAGGCCGTTGTTCGTTTGGCCGTGGGGAACCGCCTGGTGACTGTGCAGGAGCACCTCCTCAGGGCTGTTTCCCAGCAGGAATTTGACAAGAGCTCCTTGGATCTCAGCCAGGTGAGCAAAACTTCTCCAGGGGGAACAGCCTTGTCCCGGAAGGCCTTCCAGGATCCAGACCTCCCCACCCAGCGGGGAGCAGAAGAGAGGAAGAGGAAACACCTTCCAGGTCGGCAAGAGGAGCTGACATCCAAGAGGGAGAAAGCAGCTTCCAGGAGGCAGCACTGGTTGCACAGGGACCTGCGTGTGCGGTTTGTGGACAAACTGCACAAGTATTATAACACCAAGATGACGATTGAAGATGTCTTCAGTCCAGATACTTGTATATGTCAGACAGATGAAGGCCAGGTCCTGGAAGGCGTCAGGGAAGACATGCTGGAGACCCTTGTCCCCAGGGTCCAGGGCAGCCGAGTGATGGTGGTGCTGGGGCCACAGGCTGGAAGGGTGGGCCATCTGCTGCGCTGGGACAGAGCAGAGCCAGGCCGTGGTTCACCTGCGGAGAGAGAATCGGCTGGTGGAGCTGCACTATGATGCTGTCTGCGAGTATGTGGGTCCCCGTGACTCAGACGAAGACTGACCCGTGGATTCACTCCGTTCCCCAGGCAGTTACCAGTTCTGTCCTGTGAAAAGCCTGTCTTTGTGAAGGTGGGGAGGTCATTGTTCCGTCCTGCACGAGCAGCCCTGGATGGTACAAAATGGATAGACCAGAAGAGAGGCTAGCAAACCTAGTATTTACCAGCATTAATATAAAATAAAAACCATTTTAAAAAAATGATAAAGTTTGATACTATCAAGAGATGTTAGGTATTTGAAGAAAGGATTCACTACGAGTAGAAGTGAACCTTCAAACACTATAGCTACTAGCAAAATGGTATATCTTAAGACTCAATGGTTCTACTTATAGAAAGTAGCCTAGAGAAACAGACATTTGTATACAAGAAGAGGAGTATTAGGATGTTTATGGGAACATCATTTATAATGGTAAAGAAAGATCGAAATAGACTAAATGTCCATTAGTAGGGGACTGTTTGTAAAGTGGATATATATTTTTCTAAAAGTATAATATATTGATTAGAAAGAAAATGCTAGCTTCCTATAGTGGTTACCTTGTGGTGTGGGGAGAATGGGACAGCACATGGGGAAAATTTCATCTTTAATGTTTTGTTTGTTTTATGGGGAAAGAGACTTAACAGATTTACAAAATATTAGCTGTTGATGGCCTTTGATAGGTAAGATGTTTTGTGTTATATTTTATTTCTGAGGTTCAGTATCTACCCTTCAATTTCTTGCAGCATTTAATTCAATTTCTTGCAGCAATTTCTTGTAGGTCAGAAAATAGTGAAATGAATGTGCAGATGGAGGCAAAACTGGTTTATTTCTGCAGTGGGAGAAGTCAGTGGATCCTCCACTTGATAGAATTAATTTGAATGTCTTTGTATAAGAATTATTTGCATTGTTATCCAAAGTTTATAGAGGTGTAAGAAAAACTCCAGTAGAATTTTTAGATATTAGATACCCTAGAACAGTGGTTCTCAATCTGTGGGTCGCCACCCTTTGGGGGTCGAACGACCCTTTCACAGGGGTCGCCTAAGACCATCGGAAAACACATATAATTACATATTTTTGTGATTAATCACTATGCTTTAATTATGTTCAATTTGTAACAATGAAAATACATCGTGCATATCAGATATTTACATTACGATTCATAACAGTAGCAACATTACAGTTATGAAGTTGCAATGAAAATAATTTTGTGGTTGGGGGTCACCACAACATGAGGAACTGTATTAAAGGGTCGCGGCATTAGGAAGGTTGAGAACCACTGCCCTAGAAGGACATGCTCTGATAGAATCTAATTTGCCCCTGAATCAGAAATTTTCTCTGTAGGGAAAATAAATTATTAACCAGAACAAAATACTTTTTTCATTTGAGAGTTCAGATGAGATCTAGTTGGATTTTAACCCAAGTCTTTAAACAGGAAATAAAAGGATCTGAGAACTGAATAGTCTCTTCCTAATTCATTTCTACCATCTCATTTCATAGAGAGGCCCTCAGATCTCCCCTGAGTTAGTAGTTATAAGTCCTGTGTTAAAGAGAAATTGCATCGGACACTTGTTAAAAACAGCAAGACGGGTTTTTACTATATTTCAGCTGTTTCATTAGGGGAGAGAGACTCTGGTATAGAACTGAGCTTAACTCTGAAGACAGAGAGGACAGCTGGGACTTAAGGGTGAGAGGGTCAGTGGAGGAAAATTACTAAGAGGAAACTTGATTAGTTATCAGAGGTGGGAGATTCTCACAGGGTTTTTGCTAAAATGGCTCAGCAGGCCAAGGCTTAGCTGGGAAAGAGGGCTGAGAGGAGCTTGACTCAAGTTTGATCAAGGGGAGTTCTTGTGTCTCTTGCATGTTGTCAGCCGGTACCACTTCCGTGATTTCATTGTAAACTTCTGGAGAGCAGAGTAGGATCAAAGACCTTCAGGTTGGAAGGAAGGCTCTTTTCAGATGTCCTTGTCTAGCTTGGCTTTGATGGTTCGCTGATTCTAACCCAGAGCCAGTAGCAAATCACATCTGGCCGTTAGAGGATACAGCCAGTCGATGGTGGTTAAGGTGTGGGCTTTGGTGTCAGACCTGGGTTTGAACTTGACTCTGCTGTATAAATGGTCATGTGACCGTGGCCTTATTTCTTATATTGTTGGTGATAATTTATCTCAAATGGGCACTCTGCCCCAAACCTCCCAAATGGATTGAACCCAACTTGATGGTCGGCTTCTTGAAGTCAAGCATGAAGTCAAGCAGAATCCTTCCGTTGAATCACTGACCTAGTGTAGCCTGGTAACTGAAGGGGTTCCCAGGACCAAGTTCGAAGAGCAGAGGTTTCGTTCCTGGAGGCTTGTGAAATCCTTCGTAAAGGCTTGTGCGTTGACCTTAGCCTTGTGTGGATCAGGGTGTCTTTGATCGCCCACGCGTGCCTTAGAATAGCAGGGTGAAGAGCACGGTGGGTGTCCTCCTGGGGGAAGCACGGAGGCCCGCTCTGTGCTTGGGCTCCAGGTGTGGGGTGTAGTGTCCCCATCTTGGTTACAGGGCCTCCCCGACATTTACATAAACAACTTCTATGACACGCCAGGTGATGTAGTGGAAAAAGCAGTCTTTGGAGTCAGATCTTTATCACTTACCAGCAGTGCCACTTGCCAGTACGTTTCTCTACCTCTGAGCCTCAATTTCTCCAGCGTCTGAAGGGAGTAGTGAGATTGGCCCACGGCTGCTGCGAGGCTTGTGTGAAGTGCCTTGCACATTACACGCTCAGAGCAGACAGCCACGGTATCCCACTCTCCCAGCCTGTGCTTGGGGGACTTGCTCCTCCTCCCTGGTTAGAGTATCAATAGTCTGTTCCTTTTCTCCCCACAGAGGTCGAGTAGACTAAACGCATATCCCCTAACAGAACACCTTGGAGATCTTTCCGCTCTTGGCACATTGAGACCTGCCTTAATCTTTTTAAAGGCTTCACGGTACCCCCTTATAAAGCATGTACCATAATGATTTAACTAGACAGTCCCTGTAGATCAGCGGTTCTCAACCTGTGGGTCGCGACCCCTTTGGGGGTCGAACGACCCTTTCACAGGGGTCGCCTAAGACCATCGGAAAACACATATATAATTACATATTGTTTTTGTGATTAGTCACTATGCTTTAATTATGTTCAATTTGTAACAATGAAATCGGGGGTCACCACAACATGAGGAACTGTTTAAGGGTCGCGGCATTAGGAAGGTTGAGAACCACGGAACTAGACAGTCCCTGTAGATGAACGTTTATGTTTAGCTGTAGGGTGGGCTCCTGCACCTCCTTAAAATCTTCTCTCTTTGAAAACGATACTCCTACTGGGACTCCCTCTCCTGCCTTAGAGTTCTCCTGGGCGCTCATCATCACCTGCGTATTTCAATGGTCCATCTCTTCCCACCAGAATGTCAGCTCCAAGAAGGGTTTTGTTCCTGTGGTTCCCTCTTTGGTGCCTGTGAGCACCTGGTGGGCTGGGCCCTGTTGGATGGGTGGGGAGGTGGAAGACCGAAAGCAGCAGTCACAAAGAGCTAGTTTAGCAGGGACCATTGCACTTTCTTCATGACTTTTTTCACTTTGCTGCAAGATTGTGACTTTGTCAGGAATGTTGCTGATCAGGAGGAAATTGCCGCCCGAGAAGTGTTCACTGCTGAGGGGCTGAGGGTAATGGAATGATTGTAGTACTTCCACTTTCCATCTTCACCCCAGGCCCCTATAAGTTTCCCCAAATAGTGTTAGTACATGTGTCTTTCTAAAGTGACATTTTCCAATCACTGTCATACTGTGAGGCTTTTAACTTGCCCTTATGCTCAAGGAACCACATTCTGTTGATAAGAAAGAAAATGATAGAGGAGAACCATCGCCAAATGTTAGCTATAAAAGTATCACGGTGTATTTTAAGGCACTTTCCCTCACTGAGAAGTAACTTGCTGGTATATTAGTAGAAGGATGAAAGGAAAACTTGAATTTCAAAAAATAACCTGGCGGTACTTTCAGTAGCTGTTGCTTTATTTGCTAATTTAGGCAGTTTAGCTGCCAGCGCTCATTCTGTTGTTCACAGTCAGGCCAACCATTTGATTCCAGTGTTTTGTTTATCCTTTTTGGCCCTAACTCTGAAGGGAAGAAGTCGCACCAGGGAGTGCCTCCAGAGGAATGAGCCTCCTCGGGATTAAGTCACATGAGCCAGACTCAGAGAGACTGGTGTGCAAACCAGGGAGCCATTTAACGATTGTGGAGGAAAGATGATAAAGCCAGCCATGCTCAACCGGTCGTGTGGGCAGAGGACACCTGCTCCCTCCCTAGGACAGACCAAAGGGACCGCTGGTTTTATTACAACAATAGCCACGTCTCTGGTGGCTTTGGTGACACAGTGGGAGAGTGGAATAGTTGTGGCAGGAGATGGCATGACCCGCAAGGCTGAAAATATCGGCTGTCCAGCCTTTTATTGAAAGCATTTGCCAACTCCTGTCCTGGGGAAGGCTTCCCAGGGAGGCTTAGTTGCAATCGGCAATTAAGGGTGAGCTCAGAATCGAAGAGCTGCTGGGTGAGTCACCTCAGTAGCCACTGTCACACCCCCCTCCCTGTGGGGGGTCCTGGGGAGCTCTGGGGGCAGGGGTGTGCTTTTGCTTCTTGGCTCTCTCTTGCCTGACCTTACTGATGCTTCTTTTTTTGTTTGTATAATTGTACCTTCTGTTGTTCCCTCCGAGCCCCACAGTGAGCCCTGGGCAGGTATAGCGGGCTTGGGAGAGCTTACGTCGGTGCATGGGTCACGTGAACAGGCTGGGGCTTCTGCACCTGTCTGTGCCCTCATCTCTCTGTTCTTTTTTTTTTTTTTTTTTTTTTCACAGTCCAAATGTTTGCAACCAAAGGTTTATGAAAATATTTGTTGAAATCACTTTTTAAAAAAAGCAGAAAGCTTTTGACCATTCCTTTCTAAACAAAACCTTGGCAGATCTACTCTCAAATACACTTAAGAGTATTCCACACAACATCTCTCTGTTCTTTGATGTCTGTTACTGCCATACTAAAAACAAAAACCAACAGACAAGAACTCTTGGCCATTTAAGGATAATCTTTTTTTTAATCTTTATTGTTGAAAGTATTACATATGTCCTCTTTTTTTCTGTCATCAACCCACTCCAGCCCCCCTCCCCCACCACCCCGCCCTCACCACCCCACTGTCTGTGTCCATGGGTTATACATATGTACCTACAAGGTCTTTGGTTGATTACCTCCCACCCATCCATTCATCCACCCACCTTCCCTCCGAGATTCCACCCTCTGTTCCATGCTTCCATGTCTCCGATCCACTCCATACACCATTTAAGGATAATCTTTAAAACAAACCTGGGACACCTACTGTAGTGACCATCCATCCCTGGCCCTGCAGTGAAGCGAAAGAAACCTGAATCTGGCACCAACTCAATTTACAGATTGGGATGGAGTTCTGGGGCGGAGACCGCGGAGGGATAGGGCAGGGTCGGGATGCTGGGCTTCCGGGCAGACGTGGACTAGCGCCGGCCAGGGTTGGTGAGGAGGCCTGCTCCAGAAGTCCTGCGCGGCACTGAAGCTGGTCAGAAGTTCAGAGTCCCGGGCCCTATCCCAGGCCTACCCATTCAGAATCTGCATTCTAACAAGACCCCCGGGCGGTATGGATGGACAGTCCAATTGGAGAAGCACAGGCTGGAGGCCTTCTTAGGTTTTTAGTTTTCACCAGCCTCACACTTCCTGTTTCTTCACTTAAGGGGAAAACCCACTGTTTTGAGTTTTAGGCCTGGGTTAGGCAGGGTGCGAAGGATGGTTTCTTAGAGGTGGTTCATATCTTAGCTGGCTGCATGTTCTGTGAGGACAGAGGCCTTGTCCTGTCTCTACTGCCCTCCCAGGACCAAGCACTTTGTCTGACGGGTGGGTGTTCAGGAGACTGGCCCAGCAGGCGATGAATGAGTCAGCGATGCCATGGCATCGGAGGCAGAGGTCAGCCTCACAGACTCTCTGCCCTGAGTCCCTACATGCCACTGTTTTTCCTTTTATCTCAGAATGGCAGGCCTGGCTTCTGTCACAGGAAGGCTGATTTTAGAACAGCACACTCAGGGCACAGGCCGGGCCTGATGTGAGGAGTGCAAGTGGCCAGGACTCAGCCTTAGTCCCGCCTTTGGTGCTTTAAAAGGTTACTTCAGGTTTCGGCCACGGAGTATAAAACTGGGCAGGTGCTTCATGAAGAGTAATCTTAAGCCCTAGCCGGTTTGGCTCAGTGGATGGAGCATCAGACCACGCACTGAAGGATCCTTGTTTGATTCTTTCAAGGGCACGTATCTCGGTTGCAGGCTCGATCCCTGGGCCTGGTAGGGCACTGGGGAGCAACCAGCTGATGTGTGTCTCTCACATCGATGTTTCTCTCCTTTTCTCTGTCTCTCCCCATCTCTTCGTTCTTTCTTTAAAAACAATCAAACAAACAACAACTACAAAAAAACCCCAAAACAATGGAAAAACATTCTCCAGTGAGGATTAACAACAGCAAAAAAGAATATTCTTGATATGCAGAAGCACATAGCAGAAGGCTGGGCTAGGAATTCAGAACGCTTGGCTCCTGGGCTGGGCCAGGCCGGGGATCTGGGCAGGTTACTTCTCTTTTGCTTCAACCTCCCCCTTTTCTAAAACAAGGATTAAATACTTGCCCTGCCTGTTGTACAGAATGCATGTAAATGGGTTTACGTGTTGGGCTGCCAATGTTTGTTCCTTACCCAGTTTGCTTGCTCACCAGCTAATAGTTACTCAGTGTTTACATTGAATGTGTATTGACCTTTGACAAACTTTATTATATAATATACATTAATTGTAATAAAAAAAGACAAATATGAAAAGGAAAATCATCCTTAATTCTACCTACCACCAGTCATAACTACTGTTAGATTTTTAAGTTTGCCTTCCACAATTCCCCATGCATCCATTACATGTATATTCTTTTCTTGCAAACAGTTCAAAGCATGTGGTATACATTTTTCTAATGCAGTGAATGTTGTTGATGAACTTTATCTGCTCTATACCAAGCTGTGCCAAAACTTTAAAGGTTGCTCAGGGAGCTTTCTTGATATTCTTTACTTTATACTCATAACTGCAACTTGTAATGAAGGTTGGGAGACAGGGGCAGCCCCTCATCTAGGGAAACGGCAGCAGAGCTAAAAACAAAGTTCTGCTCTGTCAACATTTTTATCTTCAGCATGTTCTGTCTGATGACTAAGTGCTCTTATCATTTGACCCACTTACTATGATACTTTCTCTCTCTTTTTTTGGTTAATCTTCACCCGAAGATATATTTTTCATTGATTTTTATTTATATTTATTTATTTATTTAAATTTATTTTTATTTTATTTTATTTTTTTAAATTAAATCTTTATGTCAGATTATTACAATTGTTCCTCTTCCCCCCCCCCCCATAGCTCCCCTCCACCTGGTTCCCCCCCCTTCTGCCCTCACCCCCCATAGGTGCACGATTTTTGTCCAGTCTCTTCCCGCATCCCCCACACTCCTTTCCCCCTCAAGAATAGTCAGTCCACTCCCTTTCTATGCCCCTGATTCTATTATAATCACCAGTTCATTCTGTTCATCAGATTATTTATTCAATTGATTTTTAGATTCACTTGTTGATAGATGTGTATTTGTTGTTCATAATTTGTATCTTTACCTTTTCTTCTTCTTCCTCTTCTTAAAGGATACCTTTCAGCATTTCATATAATACTGGTTTGGTGGTGATGAACTCCTTTAGCTTTTCCTTATCTGTGAAGCTCTTTATCTGACCTTCAATTCTGAATGATAGCTTTGCTGGATAAAGTAATCTTGGTTGTAGGTTCTTGGCATTCATCACTTTGAATATTTCTTGCCACTCCCTTCTGGCCTGCAAAGTTTCTGTTGAGAAATCAGCTGACAGTCGTATGGGTACTCCCTCCCTAGTAGGAAACTGACTGTCTTTCTCTTGCTGCTTTTAAGATTCTCTCTTTGTCTTTTGCTCTTGGCATTTTAATGATGATGTGTCTTGGTGTGGTCCTCTTTGGATTCCTTTTGTTTGGGGTTCTCTGCGCTTCCTGGACTTGTAAGTCTATTTCTTTCACCAGGTAGGGGAAGTTTTCTGTCACTATTTCTTCAAATAGATTTTTAATATCTTGCTCTCTCTCTTCTTCTGGCACCCCTGTAATTCGGATGTTGGTATGCTTGAAGTTGTCCCAGAGGCTCCTTACACTATCTTCATATTTTTGGATTCTTTTTTCATTTTGCTTTTCCAGTTGGGTGTTTTTTGCTTCTTCGTATTTCAGATCTTTGACTTGATTCTTGTGATCCTCTAGTCTGCTGTTGGGAGTCTGTATAATATCCTTTATTTCAGTCAGTGTATGCTTAATTTCTAGTTGGTCCTTTTTCATAACCTCGAGGGTCTCACTAGATTTCTTGAGGGTCTCATTAAGTTTATCGGCGGTTTCTAGAAAATTCTTGAAAAACCTTAAAAGTGTGGCTTTGAACTCTATATCCAGTAGTTTGCTTTCCTCCATTTCTGTCATTTGTGTCCTGTTTCTTTGTCTCCGCATTTTTTATGCTTTGCTGTGTCGATACAGTGGCTTTCTGTACTAGGTGTCCTATAGGGCCCAGTGGCTCAGCCTCCCCAATTACCTGAGGTGGACACTCTTGGTGCACCCCCTTGTGGGCTTTGTGCACAGTCTTGTTGTAGTTAAGCCTTGATTGTTGTAGGTAACACTGGGAGGGATTGACCTCCAGGCCAATTGGCTGTGAGAATCAGCTGTGTCTGCAGTGGGAGAACTTCTATGCTGGATACACCCCTCTGGGGCAAGACTTGCTTCAGTGGGGCTTTGCTGGTCACTGAGTCTGCCCCCTGAGTGTGTCCTTTATGGATCCGAGGAGCTGCAATCTGGATGGTCCCACTCTGACCACCGGGCACACTGGCTCCTGGATCTCTAAGGAGGTGCTAATTTAGCCTCTGCCTGAGGCTACCCAGCAGGAGCCAGCTGTGAAGCAGTGCAAGTTGCCGTGGGGCCTTGGGCCAGCTGCAGTTTGTTAGGTAATTTTCAGATTGCAAAGGGCCAGGCCTTTCATATGCAAAAGTCTCCGTGCAAGGCTTGGTCAGGGCGGGGTCCCAGGGGATCAACAGGGCGGAGCAAGCAGCTATGGCTGCCCTCAGAGGCCCCGCTTCTCAGTGTCCCGGCAATCGCTGCAAGCACCTCTGAGAAAAAGCCGCCTTCGAGTTCCGACCGATGTCAGACAGTCCAGTTTCTCCCGAATGAGTCTGAGTCCCCAGAGACTCGCCCGGAACTGGAGTTCAGAGCAGTCGGGGGCTTGAGACTCCCTCCCTATTGAAAAAGACAACCGTGTCCTCAGCTGCTAGCCCTCTCTGCATGCGCCTCCGTACCGCTGTACTTTACTTCTGCACCGTACCTCCTCTGAGTCTCGGTATGCTTTTCTCTTTCCTTCCACTCAGCTAGCCTTCTTGTGATTCTGGATGATGTCCGTTCTGTCTTTTAGTTGTATTCTTGAAGTGGTTGTGCGAGGCAGCAATCTCCGGTGTTTACCTATGCTGCCATCTTGGTTTTCCCTCTTCATTGATTTTCACAGAGACTGGAAGGGAGGGGGAGAGAAAGAGAGAGAGACACATACATCGACTGGTTGCCTCTCACACTTGCCCTGACCATTGTCGGGGATGTAGCTTGCAATGGAGGTTCATGCCGTCAATCAGAATTGAATCTGTGACCCTTTAGTCCAGAGGTCGCCAACCGGTGGTCCTTGGGCTACTGGTGGTCCGTGAGTTCCAAAAGGTTGGCGGACCCTGCTTTAATTTGAGGGCCAACACTCTAACCATTGAGCAAACCGGCCAAAGCTACTTTCTTAGAGGCCAGCAATATTCTTCTGTTCTTGTCCTTCCTTTTTGGCTTGACTTGGCTTTTTTCTTTCCAGGTTTCTGCACGTGATGCCAAGGCACAGAATGATTTGGGAAGTAGCCGTGCTGCTCAGCTTGGTCCTGGGAACTGGGGCTACTCCCGAGGACGATCCCGAGGATGGAGGCAAGCACTGGGTGGTCATCGTCGCAGGCTCCAATGGCTGGTATAACTATAGGCACCAGGTAGGAAAATGGCTCATCTCTTTCTTTATGGCACGGGCATTCTGTAAATAGCCCTGGACGTCGTTAAAAGAGCAGACCTTTAAAAAAGCGATTTACACTCATTTCAGGCTGCCAAAGGGACGTGTTAGCGAGGCTGGCGAGAAATGGGAACCCTTATGTTCCTGGGGGGTTTAAAATGGGACAGCTGTTTTGGAAAGCAGTTTGCATTTCCTCAAAAAGGCCTCTGTGGCGTCACCTCAGTCTAACCGAGGTTTTAACCTTGGAGCTGTTGACATGTGGGGCCAGGTTATTCTTTGGGAGTCTGTCCTGTAGGACGTTTAGCAGCATCCTGGGCCTCTACCCACTGGAAACCAGGAGCATCACCCACCCCAGTCTTTACCAAGTATCCCTAGTTGAGACCCACTGGTCATCACCTTCCTGATATAGAAAAGGAAACAGAGACTAAAAGAGGAAGTGACTTTCTGAGACCACACAGGAGTTGAGGTACAGATAGGACTGAAGCCCAGGGGTCTGGTCGAAGCCTCACAAGCCTCTTTGCCCTCCAGGCCTCTGCCTGCAGCTCTCCATACCCTCTTCCCCATCTTTCCTGGCATTTCCAACAAATCAGCCTGGCAGGAGTTAGAGCGAAAAGATGGTGCGGCCACTTTGGGAAACAGTCTGGCAGTTCCTTAAAAGATTAAACAGAGAGTTACCATATGACCCAGCGATTCCACTGCTAGGCACACACCCAAGAGAAAGGAACACATATGTTTGCACAAAAACCTGTACTTGAATGATCATAGCAGTATTATTCATCATAGCCAGAAAGTAGAAACAATCCAAGTATCCATCCGCTGATGAATGGATAAACGATGTGGTCTGTCCACACAAGGGGATGTTATTGGTCATGAAAAGGAATACAGTACCGATACCTCAACACGGATGGCCTTAAGAACACGCTAAATAAAAGAAGCCAGTTGCACAGGACCATGTATTGTAAGGTCCCATTTACATCAAATGTCCAGAATAGGGAAATCTACAGAGACAGAATATCGTTTAGTGGTTGTCAAGGTCTGGAGGGAGGTGACAATGGGGAATGGCTGCTGATGGGTATGGGATCTCCCTTTGGGATGATGAAAATATTCTAGAATTAGATAGTGGTTATGGTTGCATGACTTTGTGAATATACGAGAAACCACAGGGTTGTATATTTTAAAAGCCTGACTTTTATGATATTGAATTATATCTCAATAAAGTTGTAATTTATCCCTACCTGGTTTGGCTCAATGGATAGAGCATTGGCCTGTGGACTGAAGGGTCCTGGGTTTGATTCCAGTCAAGGCCACATGCCTGTGTTTCGGGCTCAATCCCCAGTAGGGGGCGTGCAGAAGGCAGCCAATCAATGGTTCTCTCTCATCATTAACGCTTCTCTCTCTCCCTCTCCCTTCCTCTCTGAAATCAATAAAAATAAGTAACTAAGTAAGTAAATAAATACTTTTTTGTAATTAAAAAAGCCATTTCATTTTGTAATTCTCAGAAGCTGGAAGCATAGACCAGGGGTGGGCAAACTTTTTGACTCGAGGGCCACAATGGGTTCTTAAACTGGACCGGAGGGCCGGAACAAAAGCATGGATGGAGTGTTTGTGTGAACTAATATAAATTCAAAGTAAACATCATTACATAAAAGGGTACGGTCTTTTTTTTTTTTTTTTAGTTTTATTCATTTCAAATGGGCCGGATCCGGCCCACGGACCATAGTTTGCCCACGGCTGGCACAGACCCTCACAGTCTGTGCTGAACTGTCCTAGAGCCTTGTTCACAGTGAGCTCAGTTAGTGCCTGCCGTGCGTTATATGCTGTCGTTCCGGTTCTTATTTCCTCTTTGCGAGGGAGTGAGCGGAGGCAGGGAAAAGGCCAGCACTTGACCCAGTGTGGTGGTCAGAGGGCAAGTGCCGAGCCTGGATTCAAACCCAGGCCCATGAGCTCTGGAGCAGCACTGTCGGCAGGACAGCCACATGTGTCGTCGTGAATTTTCTAGTAGCTACAGTTTTAAAAAGTAAAAAAAAATAGGTGAAATTGACCTCTTATTTAACTCAATATATCCAAGCTATTATTTTACTTGTAATCGACATAAAAAATTGATAACAAGATGCCTTACATTTTTTATTTGGTGCTAAGTCATTGGAATCTAGTGTGCCTTTATATTCACGGTGCGCGTGGTTCAGACAGGGGGTTCAGACAGGCGCGTTTGAAGTGCTAATCGCTGTGCGTGGTCAGTGGCTGCTGTATGGGCCAACGCAGGCCTCTTGTCTGTGTTCCTGATGGCTGGGGAGTGTCTCCGCACCTGGGTGTCAGTTTTCTTATCTGTTGGGTAGGGGGTTGTTTAGATAAGCTCTTGCAGCTCTAAAATTGATGATTATTGAGTGACGTTTGTATGCTAGCTGAATAGGACGTTTGTTATAGCAAAATGACCCTTTTTCCTTTTAATACTTAACAATGGGCCTGACCCATTTCCAGAGGAGCAACCGGAGTCTGCAGTGCTCGGCTCCCAGGCTCCTCCTTCTCCTCCTCCTCCTCCCCCCTCCCCCTCCCCACGAGGTAGAAAGATGAGGTACTCAGTACGGGTCACCGATAGTGAACAGGCTGATTCATCAGCCACCCTGGTTTTTATACAACCAACTTAAAAAAATATTTGTTAAACATTATTAAGTGTAGATATCCCATGAACCTTGCAACCAGAAAACCTTTTTTTTCTTCTTAGATGTTGCTAGTTTCCCTGGGTAAAATACTTAACATTGAAATAAAGGGAAGCAAGGCAGATTAAGTGGCCGCAGACTGAAATATTTGTCCCTGAAGGAGGGAGGGCGACAGTGCTGAGGCCACAGAGGCTGAGCAGAGAGGAAACACATGTGCTGAGTCATTGCTGACCTCAGCCCCTGTCCCTGCTGGCCTGATACCGTCCCCAGCCAGCTGCCAACATTTGCTTTCTTGACTCTGGAGGCTAATCATTAAAAGCATTTGAGCCCGGCCGGCACGGCTCAGTGGTTGAACATCGACCTATGAACCCGAAGGTCGGGGCACATGCCCCGTTGTGAGCTCGATCCTCAGTGTGGGGTGTGCAGGAGGCAGCTGATCAGTTATTCTCTCTTGTCCTTGATGTTTCTATCTCCCCCTTTCTCTCCCTTCCTCTTTGTATTTAAAAAAAAAGCATATGAAAGAACTTTCCCTGTAGAACCTACATAGACTTTTAAACACATTTTTATAAAGGCTTACATTTTCCTTGGATTAAGACAGCACTCATTATCACAAATTTCTTAATTGTAAACCAGGCACAATTAAGTCATCGCTAAGTGCTTTTCTGTGCTCTGTCTTGACGGAATTGGGTTTCCATTTTTGGCTGGGATTCATGAGTGACATTCTGAGTGTGGGGAGGGTAAGGCCGGGCGTTGGCGGATGCCCGCAGTGGCGGGGGCGTCAGCCAGCCTCCGGTGAGTGCAGGTGAGAGGGAGAGGTCCTGAAGTGCAGGCAGCCCATGGTGACAGCTGTACGGCCAGTCTGTCCTCTGACAGGCTTGTGAAGGGAAAAGACTAGGGCCTGGGAGCGGTGGGGCTGGACGTGGGTTTCTTTGAGGACTGGGGCTTGAGCCTGTGGAGAAGGAAGATCTAAGGCCTGGGAATGGCAGTGGGGGTGGTGGCTGATGTAGGTTGAAGGTGAAGTTCATTGTTATCAGGAGTTGGGAGGAGAGCCAGGAGAAAGAGGGTTGGTGGGCGGGTGGAGGTCCTTGCAGGGCAGTGGGCTCCGAAGGAGAAAGCTGTTTGCTGGTGTGTTGGCAGGAGGAGAAGCCCTGAGATTGCTCCCCCACTCACTCCCCTCTGCTGGTCTGGAGTTTGTGGTTGGAGTGGAGGGAAGGCTGTGAGAGAGTGTGTCCTGAGACCCGAGGAGGCAGGTGGGGGTGTGGGTTCCAGCTGAGGCCCAGAGGGATAGGGGAAGTCTTGAGCTTGTATCTGTGGGAGGTGGAAGATGTGACGATGGAGGGTCTGAAAGACCACCTTTCCTTTTATGTTTAAAAAATGTGCCCCCTTATCACCTTTTAAAAACAGCTTAACTGAGGCATACGTTTCCTAGTACAAGTCGTAATTCCCCTATGATCATTGTACAGCTAAGTGGTTTTTAGTGAAGTTATACAGCGGTGCAAGCCTCACCAAAGCCCAGTTTTAGGACATATTCATCATTCTAATCTAGAAAGTTCCCTGGTGCCCTTTGCAGTCAGTCCTCCCTGTTTCTTCCCAGCCCCTGGTAACCATGGATCTGCTCTGTCTATTGTTTTGCCTTCTCTGGGCACTTCTTATAAATGGAATCAGACGATATGTAGTCTTTTGTGTCTGGCTTTTCACTTAGCATAATGTTTTTGTGGTTAATCCATGTTGTTGCAGTTTTGCATTTAAAAAGTGAAGCAGGCTTTTAAAGAGGGCACGGCAGGAAGGGACCAGGGAAGAGGGCAGGGCAGGACTGAGTTAGGGGAATGAAGTTAGCACAGGAGGCTGGTCTTGTCCAGGCCTGAGCATCGTGAAAGAGTGTGGGCTTTGGACTTGCACCGACCTCAGGCATCGGTCCTGCTCTCCGCTCCCTGCCGCATTAGTTTGAGCATATTATGCAACCTCCCTTTGAACCTCTGGTTCCCTCTGGATGCTGTGAGGTAGTGCTGGGCTCAGGGAGGCAACCCCACAAAGCCCACACCCGAGCCAGTGCTCAGAGCAGTGTCAGGTGGGTGTACAGAGCAGTGATGCTCATTGTACACCTGTGCGGTGAGCAGACCATGAGAACCCTTCCCAACTCCTTCCTGGCTCGGAGGTGGACCCCTTCACAGTGACTAAGGCCAGAGCGTGCCACCCGTATTGGCCTTTGTTCCAAGCAGGTTGTCCATTTAGCTGACAGTTGGCCTGGAGGCAGCAGGAGCAGACAGCAGCAGGCCAGGGGCTGCAGCCGGCAGTCACGGGGTGCATTAGCACGCCCATCGGAACT